CTTTACGCAGCGTCCTGCCGAGTGTGTGTAGCACCGACGCAGACGCACCCCAGGCACTACACTACGACGGCTAGGCAGACCTCACCAGTCCGATAAGGATCAACTGGAAGGTTGAACCTCGAGCTTAGACAGAACGGGCGCGACAGACTCCAGGGGAGATCGCGCTCTACTCGGGGCACCAAGGAGGAAAACCGAAACCGTTTGGGTGCCCCACAAAAACCCAAACGCCACAACCCAAAAGTCACACCTCCCCCCCACGTCCCCCCCCCCTTGGGGACGTAGCGCACGCCCTTACTCGGAGAGAGTGGGGGGGGAGGGGGGGTGGGGGAATAGGAGGAGCCGTCGAGCTCGGAGTAAGGTCCACAGTAGAGAGACAGGCATTTAAGGCGTAACTTCACCCTCGCTCACCTTGAGTATATCTAGGCGCCCTGGTGCAGTCGGTCTTCGGATCAGCGGCCAGCTTCCCATCTAGGGCAGGGAACCCCCAGCGACGCTAGTGTGGCCTACGGTAGCCTCAGCTTGTACGCGATCCCGGGGCAGGGGGGTGTGGACTCTAGAGCTCCAAGAAAGGATAGGGAGAGGAAGGGAGATTGGTGTGCCGGTTTTTCGCGTTAGCAATTTTTTTTTTCATTAGCCGCGGAGGAGCGCGGCTCGCATAAAGCTGCGAGCGCGCGCATCTCGCAGGTCGACGCGGTGGGCGCACTCCTGCTTCCCGAGCACGAGCGCCGGGTCGATTGCCGGCTCGAGGTCGCAGCAGCAGCAGCCGAAGCACCCGTCGAGCACCTCCTCCTCGCGCGAGCCGCCCGAGAGGATGTGCAGGATCGACGGCACGGCAACCTCGTGGAAGACGCGCTGCCAAAAGTAGAGGTGCATCAGGTCGCCAAACGCGGCGGCCAGGCGCATGGGGACGTAGTACAGGTCGCTCCACCCGGCGCACACCGTCCCCGCGCCCACCGCCGCCCACGCTCCGTCAAGCGACGGCGCGCTCTGGCGGTAGCGGCCGAGCAACGCCGTCGCGTTGTGCAGCTGGTGGGAGGCCCGCATCCCCCTTCGCCACGAGTCAAAGCCGAACCACGGCGCCGCCGCTCGCTCGCCGGCGCCACTCCGGCCATCCTCGCGGAAGCAGCGCTCCCGCCAAAAGAGCTCGTCTCGCCCCGCCCGCAGCGCGGCCAGGTCCGACACCAGCAGCCTCGGCGGAACCCTGGAATGGCCCGCAAACGTCGCCACGCCTGGCCGGGCTGGGATGGCGCGTGGAGGCGCGCTCTTCTGCCACGCCTCGCCGGGGAGGCCCGGCCCGAGCCGCCACACAAAGTCTGCCCGCCGGCGGCGGAGGCGGGCCGGGTCGACAAAAAAGTCCATGTGCATCAGCAGCACGCCGGACGCCGTCTCGAGCTTTCCGCTCGCGCGGCGCGCCAGCGTCCGCAGCCAGCCCGGCCCCTTGGACCTCTTCTTCTTTGGGCTCCCTGACGCGGCGAGGGAGAGCATGACCTTGCCGACCGAGTAGAGGTGGCCCTCGCCCGGGTACGAGTCGCGGTAGTGGAGCCGGCAAGCGATGCCGCCGTGCTCGTCGGTCACGTTGAGGCAGGCCGGGAAGAGGTCTCCCGTGACGATGTGGACGAGGCCCAGGAAGTGACGCTCGTAGAGGCGAGTCGTAGGGTAGCGCTCCGGCCGCCAGTGATCCAGGAGCGCAATCACGCGGCCGGGCGCCGCCATGTGGGGCGAGAGGGGACCCGCTCGTGTGTTCGGCGGGAGGAACACAAAGAACGGAATGAGAAAGCCCCGACGTCGTCCCGGAGGCGCCAGCGGCTGGCCGGATCACCATCTCTCAAGGCCCGAGCTTTACGCCGGCGGAGAGAAGAGCCGCAGCCATGGCACTCGGGCAGCCGGGGGGGTCGGCCGATGGGGCGATGGCCGCTGGCGGCGCCGTGGCGGCGAGGGCCCCTCGTCGTCGCCCCGGAGGCGCGGCGGCGGCCGGCCGGGCGGTCGGGACGCCATCTGTCACGGGCAGGGCCGTCGCCGAAGGGACGGCAGAGTTTTACCGGCATCGAGAGCCCAGCACATCGCGTCCGCCCTGTTGACTCGGGCGCGGTCGACCCAGCCACATGAGTTTGAGAAAGTGTGCGCCCCATTGAATGACAATCTTGGTTGGTGTGAGGAGGGACTCGTTCACTCGTACATAAGAAAGAAAGAAAGAAAACGGACAACCCAAGGGAGGGGGATGGGAGGACGGATGTCGTTATCACACAGGGATTTTAAGGAGAGGGGTGTGTCGTACATAAAGAAAGAAAGAAAGAAAACAGACACGCCAAACGAGGGATGGGACGAGGACAGGGTCCCCACCTGCACAGCAGGATTTTGGAAGGACGATCAGGGGGACAGGTGGGGCTCTCCTGCTCCTGACAAGGGTCACGACAGGCTCGCAGCGCGGTGCGCGGTGGACTCCCACATCCACTGGCGGTCTCATCTCAGTCTAGCGACCTGCCTCCAGCTTGTCGCTGGCAGTCTCTCCTACCACAGGCACACTGACACAGGGGTGGCAGCGCCGGCTGCTCCCGCTGTCGCCGCTGTCGGGGGGGAGCCGGCGTTCGGTCCATTTGGCGAGCCAGCGATTCTGCTCGGCATGCCATTTTTGATTGTTTTGCCATTTTTTGTCGGTCTCGTAGTTGACTGAGTGGGGGGGCGGTCTCCACGGCTGCTCGAATCTCGTCCGGGTTCAGCCGTCGCTTGGCCATTGGGCGGAGCTGGTGGTGCAAACGACCGAATCGGTGGGACGGTCGGAAACTGGTGGCGGTGGGACTTATAGGGTTAGACAACGCGCCGTGTGTTTCTTCCTGTCGCACGCAACGCTCAACCGAAAGTCGGGTGGGCTGCTGTGGAAGCTCTGTGGGTGAAGTGAGCTTGCCGCGCGGCTGCCAGATGGACGTCGCTGCGTCGTACAATCAGCGGCTGCCCTGGCCCGCGGTTATGGACGTCTCGCCCGAGGACAGGCCCGTCGCCATCCGCACGTCGTCCATGGGAAGCACGCCGCTCGACACGCACGCAAAGCGGCTGCGCAGCGAGGCGGAGCTCGACTCGTGCCCGCTGCACGAGCCCGACGAGCCCCCGCTGAAGCGGATGGAGTTCACGCCGTGTCACTCGCCCACGCGCGCCGAGCAGACGCCGCCCGAGGACATGGCCAGCGTCATGCCGCCGAGACGGCTCGCCAGCGTCGGCTTTGGCACGCCCATCTCGGGCCACCCCATCTGCTGCCCGCTCGTGAGCGAGCTGCGCCTGCGGTACGGCATGCACCAGACGCAGGGCCCGAGATCGTGCGCGCTCCCGCCCCACACCCCTTCCCCTCCAGAAAAGTTGTCCCCTGCCCTCCCATGCCCTCCCCTGCCCTCCCCTGCCCGCAACCTGCACGCATGCTGCGCGCCTCACCCCTCTCTCACCGGCCGCGGCCCGCCCCGCCCGCGCAGCTCGATGGAGGACAGGACGGTGTGCAAGCTCGAGCGCGCCAATGGCGGCTTCGCGCCTTCGCACGGCTTCTTCG